TAGTAGTTACAGTATCAGTAGTTCTATATGTACTAATTGTCTGTTTTTATACCATGTTTCTTCTGTTCCTGCAATTAGCCCTCGGGCAAGAATTTGCAATAAACAAACCTATATTGGTTAGGACTCAGGGGTGGCATGTAGAACTCACAGGGCAGACTGTTCACCCGACGTCAAACAGTCGACGACCTTCGGCCGAATTTTATGATCGCCAGTAGGTCGCCGAATATCAAAGTCTACAGAGAGTCTGTCAAGCGTATTTTGGAGGACTAATCGGGCGAGCTAGTTTCCTATACTGTGTGACGCCGGCTTTAGTAATCCTATCTCGTGAGCTATCTTATGATCCGTCTTGTGATCTGTCTTGTGATAAGTTCTCCAGGAGAGAAATGGTCAAAGACGCACCCAACAGTCAATTGTATCATTAGAATGCATTGCACTTGTATGTATTCTTCTGCCCTTATTAACATTGACACTTTTAATGGAGGTAACGTTAACCATACAATGTGTGTGTTTCCAGGTGTGCGGATGATTACAACTCCAATCCCTACCACAACGGTGCACTCGGCTGTCCTCCGGATGAAGATGTAAGGGAAGTGGCGAAGTTGGCTTTCTCAACCCGAAACTATCAGCATCGGGGTTTCGCCTTCAATAGGTGTGGCGACGAAGATGGCTTATGCCGACGCAACATATCTAACAGTCGGTCCAGTCTCTACACAACTCTGGCAGCCCGACTCGAGCCCAGAGATGGAGACAAGACTGTGTACACCGTGTGTATAGGCTCACCAGCTCATAGTAAGTATATGCGGATCGCCTCACTAATCAGTTTCAGTTCACTTCACATAGCAAGCTCCAAAACATTAAAAAACACTTTGGGTCAGGTGTTTTTTTTTTGTTCATAGAAAGAAAGCAAACTGGTATCATTTTTTTTGTGAAAATTCCAGCATTATCCAAATGCTTTAAACTGCTATCCAACTGCTACAGTTTTACCAGTCCACAGAACAGGCATAAAGACACGTACCTTGTGATCAATCCAGGGTTGAAATGTTTAAAAATCATTTTCCCCCGGAAACAGCGTGGAGGGAAACTTGTTGTCATCAAGTACAACAGGAACATCTTAACTAGATAGCTTCAAGCAACTCGTGCAGTGAAAAAAAGGTTAGGTTCGAAAGGTGATTTGATATAATATAACCTGTTTCGAAGCTGGTGGTTATACTGGCCGTACATTACATAGACAGCAGTATGTAACTGCCAACTCACCGTGGTGTGTGTTCTCTACAGACAATGGTGGTTGTCAGCATTTCTGGGACGGACAGAGCAGGTGCCTTTGTCCACTTGGCTTCGACTTGATGACAGACGGCCGTAGTTGTGAAGGTGGGGAACTGTTGTATAATTATGATTACCTTTGCCAAGGAAGCCTGGCTGTGTTTTTGGTTTACATATACTACAGCATAGCTCAGGAAGCTAGGTCACTTTTGTCATCTTGCCCTTTACGTATCTACACAATTACCTAACCATAGTAAACATATGCGATGTTACCGTGAGTTGTTGATTCTAACGTACATTCCGCTCTCTCAGCTGGTGACCACGCCTTTGAAGTCCTCAGGCCTGAAGAAGGCGAGTTTAAAGGGATCGACTTCCTTTTCATCGAGGCCCGGCTGCCGGCTGACGGTCTGTCTGCCTTTACCACCTGGTGCGAGGACTACATGTATATGTGCGCAGAGTTCGGACTCCGGCCCACCGGACCTGGGGAGGACAATGCTGTCGAGACTGGACAATACTTCTCAGAGAGTGCAAAGCGGTAGGATCTGTGGCATGTACACGTGGCGCTGATAGTTAAACCGTGATATGAGATGGGGTGAAACGTCTATGGGGAAAAAGTGGCAAAAACTCATTTATTAATCATAGATTTGTCAGCGGACTGTCACTGCTAGCTTTTTTTAGATACCGTATGATAAGACAATGAGACTTATGGTGAGCTCGAGGTTCTAAATAATACTCAAAGTAAACATTTATAGACATGCTGTTCCGCATTCGCTCTTCTTAAGGCCCTTCCGTGATTCGATTAGTGACTCGATTTGTCCTGACCTGTCCTCAGTACATTTCAAATCAATAGTTGACATACCAGTTGCCTATGTGCTCCCACCAGGTGCGTGACTGAGTACAACTCCGACCCCTACATCGACAACGCATTCCGTGGTATGGCCAGAATTGACCTTCCTCCTAAGGCGAGCTCGCTTTTCTCCGTCTCGGCTACAGAGTATAACACTTTCGGCTTTGAAAGCTGCAACTATGACCACTGCAAACGTGATATATATCGAAGCATGGGTAGTCTGGCCAGAACATCAGATGCCTATGACGCAGACGGAAACGGCAACAGGATTGTGTACACCGTGTGCAGAGGCAGAGAAGGCAAGTACCAGTATCTTAATTCTCTACTTAAAATGCTGATGAACCAGCCTAGGTGGTGTAGCAACAGCCTATTATGTGTACACTTATGTATCGACACCTTCGACGCCAGGTGGCGTAAACTGTCTTACTCATTTGTCACGCGCCTTTCTCGCGTCGAGAAATAGCATTGTGTACACGCTTTGTCATTCTGATGTGTTTACACGAAGCCTGCACTGGCCGCACATCTGTATGTAATTTGCGTATTTGCACTTTTGTTATTGTCCCTGTTTTTATATGGGCCTTTGGCCTGAATCAAAGAATAAATAAATATATAAATGATGTTTTTGCAATGTACAAAGCCCCGCAAGATATGGGGGGAGGGATAGTGTACACTTACTTTCAGGTCTTGGGTTCTCGTTTACATTGTTATCATGTTTACATTGTTTACATTCATTATCAAAACCCTAAGTATAGTATAAGCCTGGTCAACGTCTGAAAATTGATGCCATACTTCCAACAGAAAGGCACGCTTTTGAGATCCTCCGTACTGCAAACGTGCAGTATCAAGGAGTCGACTTCCTCGCCATCGAGGCGCAGCTGCCAGAAGGAGACGCGCTGTCTGCGTCTGAAAGCTGGTGCAGGGATTATCAATATCTGTGCAAGGAGTTCGGACTCAACGCTACTGGCTGTGGGGAGGACTTTGCTGTCGAGGGGGGGAGTTCCAGCCAACTTGAACATATCCGGTAGGTAAAAATGAGGTACCTAGCTTTGTCTAGTTAGGGATGTCCTCTGGGAAGGGACGTTAAGCCAGAGGTAATCACAACTGACCGGTTCACACTTGATTCAAAGTTTGAGGTAGTTGTACCTTGATGTAGATAAAATGTTTACGTTTTGTACCTTTTACTATCTTCTGAATCATGCATCCCTCATCCTATACCACTTATGAAATTAAGGGTCACACAAATCGACTTTTGGTCGCTGAAAGGTCGCTCATCGATCACCGTTTAGTGGATTGGCGGCCTTAGGGAGGTCTCCCAAAATTTAACAAATGTCAGAAAAATTGTTTTAACAATTTTTTAAAACTTTTAAAAACGTAAAAAAAAATTTAAACTTTTTAAAACTTTTAAAAACTTTTAAAAACTTTTTAAAACTTTTTAAAACTTTTTAAAACTTTTTAAAATTTTTTAAAACTTTTAAAAACTTTTAACAAACTTTTTAAAACTTTTTAAAACTTTTGTGTTGTTTCCAGGTGCGTGGATGAGTACAAGTCCGACCCTTACATAAACAACGTGCTCGGCTGCCCCCCGAACGATGGTGTAGTTGCGGTGGCGACCTTGGCTTTTGGATCTGACCCGTTCATCCTTAATACGAGGAGCTTCGCCTTTGATAGCTGCGCCGTCGACTCTTGCCAACGAAGTGTGTACCGTAGTCCGGCTCTGTCCAGCACATCTGGTATCCACGCGGCTGTAAGCCATAGGCAGGTGTACACCGTGTGTACCGGTACAGTAGGTAAGTATGTGGGCTTGCTTGACTGATAATTAACTCCAAATATTATAAACAACTCTCGTCTCACTGACAAGCAAACGTTATATTTAGTTTAGTTTAGTTTAGTTTAGTTTAGTTTAGTTTAGTTTAGTTTAGTTTAGTTTAGTTTAGTTTAGTTTAGTTTAGATGAGATGAGATTAGATCCCCAAACGTTTTATGTTGGCTTCATTCGAACTAAAGGCGCTAACCTGAGCCTTTGCTGTGTTGTACGCTTCTTGCAGACGGATGTGCGAATGAAAATGGCGGCTGTGCCCAGAACTGCACCAGTCTCCAGGGGGGAGGTTACAACTGTTCCTGTGTGCAGGGATTCGTGTTGATGGCGAATCGCCATGGCTGTGAAGGTGAGAGCCCGATTCATTTTTGTTGACTTCATGAGTAACGCATTCCAAAGATTTGTCATTACAACCAGCTGTAGGGGATTATTAAGCACAGCTCATCCCCAATGAACAAAATTGAGCGCTCCATACATATAAAGCAAAGTAGATCAAATAGAAATCGTAAGGGATTTGGCGTAAATGGTAAACGGCGAATGACTTTTAAAACAGGGTAACGCAAATATATAAATATGATAAAAAGCAACCTTAACCCACTGTATTGATATGGGGTTATTTTTTTCTAAGATTGTGGCCACTGCCTGGGCGGGGACGTCAACTGTGACCCGGTGTCGGGTGTCTGCTCGGCTGGCTGTCGGGATGGATGGAAAACACCGCGTTGCAATGGAAGTAGGTTATGATCTGACCATTATTGCTTGTTTTGCTGTCAATCAATTTGTTTACATTACTAGGATAGGGAGGGGCGTTACATAATTCATTGGTCTCATATTTACAGGTCGTCTATTTCATGTACGTAAGTAACACCTTTTAGGCTGTTGAAGTATGAAAGCATAAAAAATTCACTTTTTTTCACTTTTGCATTTTAAAAAGCTGCTTTGTAGACTTCAGTCTCATAATTTGAAATTGGCATGCATTAAATTTTAAGATAAAACCCGTGTCTTATTGTAGGAGGAATGAAAAGAACACAATAAGGAATGTCTTATTTCTCCCTTTCTTCATCCTGCAGCTGTTGATCCACCGATGAACCTGACCGTTACTGACATCACGGATGAAGGGTTCAACGTCACCTGGTTGCCCTCTCCTGACCCTGACCTTCAGGGGTACGGTGTCGTGGTGTCTACGTTAGACGGAGTGACGGCTGTCAATCAGAGCACGTATCAGTCATGGCTTCAGGTGGTGGGACTGACACTGGAAACTGATTACATCATCAGGGTGACGGTGTTGGTTCTGTCCGGTGGGCTCTGGTCACAGAGCAATGTCACAACCACCGAAGCTACCACAAGTAAGAAGAGACTTGTTGCTGATTATTGGTGACCATGGCAATCAGATAATTAATACTTCATAGATTTGCCATGGCGATGGCATGGTCTAGTGTTGTAGCGACAGGTGCGTTTCTGAAGAAAACATGCACGGAAATATTCTGAAATATCAGAAATGGTAGGGCTATATTTTATATTATACCCCCTACTTATTTCATTAAGTCTGGAGTTAAACTAATTTCGGCCATGCATTTTTCAGTAATGAGCTCCTCTAGAGAGCTGGAGTTCGTTAACGTAACCGAAACGACGTCCATGCTGAGGTTCACCTGGGAGCCCCCCGATGCGGTTGTGACAGGATACCGCATCATGTACGGACAGGAGGAGGCGACAGAACAGCTCCACCCCTCCCCGGGTCCAGGAGAGAGATCTGCCCTGATCGTCGCGCTCGAGCCAGACACCATGTACAAGGTGGAGATCATCACCATCGGGCGTCGTCGAGAAAGCCTGTCGCTTGCCGGGCAGAATGCGACAGGTGAGTACTTGAGTGTTCTGCTGTGAAACACTCAAACTTGTGACTTTTGACCAGAAGACCTCTTTCAGATATCTTCCCTCTTATCGAGAAAAAGTCCTTTGTTGTAGGTGGTCCAGAACATATCTTTTGTCCACTTTGCAGAGCCCGACGAATGTGCGACACTGAATGCTTTCTGTGACCAGATCTGCACCAACGTCCCCGGGAGCTACAGGTGCTTCTGTCAGCGGGGCTTCGTGCTGATGCCAGACGCCCATGGCTGTCGAGGTAGGACACTGTTCCATCGTAATCCAGATAATACAGAGTCATGCCCGGATTAGCGTCGGGTTTGTGGGTAGATCTTGGGCATGGAACGATTAGATTTAATGTAATTTTTATTGAAATCGACCGGTTTTCCTTTGACGAAACATATCGGTAAAAAGTTAAAACCACACTGCATTTTTACAGTGATGTTATGACCAAATATCAACATCTGTTAAACAATATTTGGTATTGTTTCCACATTAATCGCTCAGTGTGCGGCCACTGCCTGGGCGGGGACGTCTACTGTGACACGATGTCGGGTGTCTGTTCGACTGGCTGTCAGGATGGATGGAAAACAAACCTTTGTAACCAAGGTATTTACTGTCGTTTGATTAAAAAAGCAACTTTGATTAACAGTACTGCTTCTTATTGAAAAAAAGTAGCAATTTTACTCTCTCTACCACTCGTTACACAATACGAATGTGGAACAAACAGTACAACCTTGTCACCTAAGAGTAAGTCTTTCGGCGCACGTGACTGCATTTCGTAGGCACAAGTTTTGCATACGTTCTCCGTACCAATTCAATGTAGAAGCTTCATTCATCTGGATTTGTAAATGGAAAAGCTGGTATCTAATGGAGACATACTGTCTATACCTGTTGTGTATTTCCTATCTAACCATTCCCTTCTGCAGCTGTGGAGCCGCCTAGCGACCTGTCCGTTTCTGACATCACGGATAAAGGGTTCATGATCACGTGGTCTCCTGACCCTGACCCCGACCTTCAGGAATACCGAGTTGAGGTGTCGAAGATTGACAGGACGACAGCTGTCAATCAAAACACGGAGGAGACATCGTTTCAGGTGTTGGATCTGTCGCCGGATTCGGATTACGTCATCCATGTGACGTCACTGTTCTTGACGGATGGTTGGCCGTCACAGAGCGACACGACTGTCATACACACATCCACAGGTAGGAAGAACGTTAACGTAGCTACATATCATAAATATTCAAATGTCAGACCTCAAATAGCTTTTTAAATACCATGGAATCTGACGGATAAAGGTTCGGTTGTAGATAAAATAGGGAAAGAAAGGGCAAATCGGAATTTGCTATGAAGAATTTTGTGCATAGTATTTCAACATTTCAACATTCAAAATTACCCTAACCCTACAGAGAAGACCTATGTCAGAATTATCAGAAATTTCATATTGTGAAAGATCATTGAAATTAAAAAAAAAGATTCTCAAGCCTGAACTCAACAGTAATTTCAACTGACGGTATATTTTCAGAGATGAGCTCCTCAACAGACCTGCAGTTCGTGGAAGTGACCGAGTCCATGCTGAGGTTCACCTGGGAGCCCCCCGATGCGGTTGTGACCGGATACCGCGTCATGTACGGACAGGAGGAGGCGACACAACAGCTCCACCCCTCCCCGGACCCGGCAGATAGATCAGCCGTCATCCGGGGACTTCAGGCACGCACCATGTACAAGCTGGAGATCATCACCATCGGAGCGCACCGACAGAGCGAGCCTCTAATCGGGTATGAAGCGACTGGTAAGTACATGACGTAACTGTAATGTTAGTGTTGAGATCAAGGCAAGATCGCCTCAGTACTGCCTATGCTATGGCCCATATTCACTTCATCAGGTTCCTAAATGGTGCACAGTCCAGGGCCCTGGTTTCTGCTCCCTTCGTATTTCGCAATGTGGCATGTAAAAGGTTTCAGTACCTTAAATGTTTTTCTACGTAATGTCTGTTTGCCACCCTTTCCTTGGTGCACTTAAACGCAATACAAAATAAAACCAGCATTGAGATAAATCTAACCAGTTGCTTGATTTGTGTGGATGGGTAACCTACATTGAGGTTAAAAGCAGACAGATACATGCAGCATTCTGCTGTTTGTTCCTCTTGTTAGCCGCCACAGTGACGACAACAACCGCTGCCTCTACCGTCAGGACAACTGTTTCCACCGACCGAACAAGTCTGATGACCACGTTTTTCATCAGCCTACTAACTTCAACTATACCGGCTGGGACATCGGAAACTACATCTACCCGGGAGCTGCTGAATCTCGGTAAGTTACTACTGTGTCCAAAACAGGTCCTCATCATAAATGTAGGCCCCGTGTAGCAACTGATCAGATATTTCAAACCGGTCTCCGGCAAAACTACAAGGCTAGGCCTACCCGTCTGCAGCGCGACCCATCTGGAATAAGACCTAAATTGGGACAGAACAGTTCACGCTACCATGATCGACAGGGAAAGCTGTGCCCTGAAGGAATCTTGGTACATTGCGTCAGACAAACCATTGAAGGCTATGGCGCTGTTACTTGTCACAAGATTCGAAAATGGATAAGAGTGCACTTGACTCATTCTTGCTTAGGTGGCGACCAATTGGACGATGACGAATCCGAAGACGACTCCTTGGCTACAACTAGTACAGCTACTACACTTGACGCGAACAGAGAAGGTAAGAGAGTATTTTTCAGTAACATGTAAAGGCATTGCTACACAAAGAATCGTTGTCACTAGAGTAACACTATTAAGTGCAGCTTTGCTGTGCAAGAAGCCTACCCGTTGCACCTGACAAGATTCTGTTGCTCGGTTTTGCTGTACAGGAATCGAGCAAACCAGCACAATCTCGCCTGTAGGCAGCAAGACAACGCCAGCAGACCAGCTGCAGGTTTGCATTACAAATGTTTCTGACGTTCCGGCAAGCATTTTATGGTAATATTGGAAGATATGTGGCTGCTGTCAATAGCTTTATGAACTGAAGAGCAAAGCGTTTATGTTCTACGGAAACTTGCAGAGTAAAAATTAATGTTGCAAATTATTCACCGCAATAGATTACATTATCGACGTTGGTTACATCATCAAATGAATTAAAGCTACGGATGTCATATGAATGGAAGGAAAGCATTTTATCTAAACTTTTTTTATGTAAACTTTAAGAACTTACTGCTTTTTTCCCCTTGTGATTAGGCACCAGACAACATCCTGGAGAGCATCTATGCAGACGCCATCTCCCCCAACCCACAGGACGTGCTTCAGAGGCTGGCTCAAGTTAGTCACATTCTGTACTTGCTGATATTTTAGCACATACCCCTGGGTAAGGTATTGTTCACAATGAATAAACAATAAATTCACAAAGCTCTATTTAAGATTGTATGACATTTTTTTCTTTGCCATTGTGTACGACAGGACTAAGTTCAAGTGAATCTAAAGATCGTTACCATTGTTTGCGATTGACCTTTATTTTGTCAGCAGTTTACACATTTACAGGACCTACTGATTCAGGATTATCGCCCTTAACAAACTCACATGATTATAACTGTCTATGGCAAAACTTTATCTTTTTTTCTGTGGGAAACTATCAGGTCCTCGACATATACATTATGAACATTTCTTGTTTGTTGGAAATATCTCATTTTTTGGTTGTGAAATGGAAATTTTTTTATCCAACCAGAACATTGCCGATGACCCTGGAGGTTCTGTTGAATTGGAACAGCCGACGTCAGCTGCCGAAGAAAAGTCACAGGTAAGAAACGCTTGAGGATATTTAAATCTTCCATTGTTGAAAGAATGTCTCCCGTTCTACGAGAGTTTTGGAATAGACGCCACTAATATCCTTGTTATCCGCTGTTGCAGGTGTGCATGAAGGCCATTGAAAGATTGGGATTTGAAACGAGCCGGGCCCAGACGCCGCAACGTGTGCAAGTGATATCCGAGTTATCATCACTTGTCATTACGTCATGCCCCGATATTCCTCAAGAGAACGCCTTCAAGGTAAAGATAGCACACGCAATTTTATAACAAAATGAATGATTCCAGTTTTTCATGTGTGCAGGTAATGACTTGTTTCTACAATTTGTAACGTTTCTTCTATTTGTTATATCTTCTTTAATGGTACAATTGCTGTGCCAAATATTCAAGGAAAATTTTATAAAATGTAAACTCTTTATGACTCCCAATAGAACACAGCACTAGGTGTTCTCAAGTCCATCACCAGCCAACTTAACAAACTGGACATGTCTGACCCTTCGACTATCGAGTCTGTGGGAGGATGTAAGTACCGAATACACTAGTCCTATGGTGGAAAGTTATTCTGTTGATTATTTGCTAGCTCGTACTTTAATATTAACGTATGGGAAAATGTCTTCACCATGCCCGATGTAAAGGACACAACAGTCTTCCCGATTCCCTAAGCAGCTCTGGTAAAGTCCATGGTGGCCTGTAATGTCTAACACGTGTATAACAGTCTTCCTGGTTCTTTGGCAGCTCTGGTAGAGTCCGTGGCGACCCTGCTTTATGAACCAGAGGAAGATTCAGAAGGGGATGGCGGGAATCTCCAGTCGTATCCGGTAGAGGACGATACTGTCTCCCCAGAGGAGCGCGCTCAGAAGGCAAAACAAAAGGAGGACGAACATCGAGCTGAGGTAAAAATGACTTATTGGTTCTTAGTCAAGGCTTCACTCTCCCCTTCAACTCTAACTCATTTCCACTCCATGGTGGTTTGATGTCTATGTTTACTTTTTATCTACTTTCCCGATAAAATTACCGTTTCGGGACCACCGACCCCTTTTTTTCTATTTCAATTGATGCTGAATATAATACCACAGACTATAGAGTAATATTTTTGACATACAATATACTAGCGTAGTATTTGAAACAATGACTCGCCTATTTGCCTGTACCTTCCACCTCTCGTAATGTTGTGTTTGTGGATCCGTACTAATGAATTAGTATTTCCATGGAGGTAAAAAGAGACTTTTTACCTCCATGGTATTTCTATTGCGTTCATTTTCATTCAAGGGGCATATGTCTACGGCTAGTCTCTCTAATCCAATGTTCTCTTTGACTATTAGAAGGAAAGTATGGTCCAGAAGAGTCACCAGGTCCTAGATGACCTGTTCAACGCCATTACCGACCCCATGATGCCTGGCGCCCCGCCGGTAACCCTGGACAGTACCAGCCGCGGCGTCACGCTGCGGGCCCAGAAGATTTTCGGCGCCAAATCTGGGAGCCAGGTGGTGCAGACGGAGGATGGGGGGTTCCAATTCCCATCCCAAACTGCACTTTTCCCGGAAAATCCACCTCACAACATCACCGTAAAGGTGGGTATCTGTATCTATATCAGTATTGGCAGTATAGCCGCCTTCCTTCCTTGCTGAGACAGTAATGAATTGTACTAGAGTCTGACTTTAAGAGAAGGTAATGAAACTGCAAACATTTAAGTTTTAGTACACGTATTGTTAACATGTTGTAAACATCGGCGCAATTCAGTTTTTTACTATGACTTATTTTAGTCTCAATGAACCAATCATCAATCGATCAATCATGATTTTGTTTGCCTTTCAGCTGACGCAGTACCAACAGAACCCATACACCTGGGGACATGGGCATTACCAGGCACGCTCGTCTGTCATGGAACTGACGCTTCACCGCAAATATTACAAACCCTTGGTCTTCAAGAACCTCACTCAGGACTTCATTATCACAATTCCCGGCAAGTCCGCAAACAAACCCGCGACAAAAACCATCACCTACCCTGTGCCAGGAAACAGAAGTTCGAGCTACCATTTGCTGAACCTCAACAACAGCGCAGAAGCATTCCTGGTTACCATCACCCCGCTGAACTCGAGTGTGGTGTACGGCGTGTCAGGCAGGTACGGCGGCCGCCCTGATGATCAGAACTACGACGTGTACATGGAGACGTACGTTCTTCCCGAGCAGTGTTCCCTGATGGAGACCCTCCTTGGTGATGGACATGACACCGACAAGACAAAGGCAAAAATGTTCATCAGAGGAACTACAGATCCAGCAGATTACTACGTCAAAGTCCAAGTGCGAGGCGAGTCTTTAGATGATTTAACGTTTGTTTGTATGTTAGACAGACTGAAAAGGGTAAATGGGTGCAGCCGACTGTATTTTCACCTTTACATTTTCATCGATATTAAATACTGAGAAACCAAGACACAAGTCGTAAATAATCATTGATATTTCTGAGTTTAATCAGCAGGTTCTGGCATTGTTGAAAGTGTTAAGTGTTTGTTACGTGATTCGTACGTAAACCTAAAATGTGTATTAAGTCTACTAAACAAACTTTTGGCGCTTTTGTGGTATTCAAACAGTAGTCTACAATGATTTTAATATTAGATGTGGGCAAATTTATATTCATGTATACCTATAAGTAAATAGGGACGGTGTTCTTTTCTTCAGGGCCGACGACCGAGTGCGACATCAGTAATCGAACGGATGAGAAGAATTCACACAGCAATGACTTTTACTCCTACCGGATCGAGTGGGCACGTCTGACCTGCGTCTTCTGGAGCATGCAGGAAGACTGGAGGACCAACGGCTGCACGGTGTGTACAAATGTTATATTCTAATGTCAAAACCGGTAGTGGTGTTTCAATATTTTCTCAACAGTTATGGTCGTGCTTAATATCTTACCGGAATGTTATTTTGATTATCTTGGTTTTATCCACAAGATTACTCTTACGCTTACTCTTCAGATTAGCGATCAGTCCACCTTTACCAGCGCCATCTGCCACTGCAACCATCTGACAGCGTTTGGAAGTGACTTCGCCACACCGCCGGACACGGTTGACTTCGGGTTGCTAACGCTCAGAGATTTACATGACAACGGCGCGGTTTTGACAACAATCTTCGTGGAGTTCTGCCTCTTTCTGCTCGCATTGGTCATAACGAAGGTTATTGACCTCAGATCAACGAGGAAGGTGGCTATTGTTATTGTTATTGTGTCATTAATGGTCTGAGACTTTATCGTGTTGTTGATTGAGTCTTTATATTTTGAATTCTAATTGTTCAATTTCTCCATACTTCCTTAAAGAAAACCCCTTCACTCAAACTGGACGACCTGCAGAGCGACTTTCGGTACCGCCTCCACATTTGGACAGGCGCTGCTAAGCATGCTGGGACGGAGTCCACCGTTGCCTTCAACCTGTTGGGAGATGCAGCAAACTCCGGTGTGAGAGTAGTCAACATCGCACAGAAGGTCGGGCATCAAATTTACTGGCGTCAATTGTTTTCATCTTAACGATATTCTCATGTATGACAACAGGTTCTGACAGCTTGAATATTTGTTGTTGTTTAGGTTTTTACCCAAAACAGTCAGGTGACTCTGACCTTCAGCACAGCAGAACAGCTGGGTAACGTGGAGCTGCTGCAGCTCATGCACGACGACAGTGGGGAGGGGAGCCGCGCATCGTGGCACGTGGACCGAGCAGCAGTGCAGGATCTCACCACTAAGAGAATGTGAGTTCCAAGACAAATGTATAGATTCATTCAATATAATCAATTATTACCTTCGCCAAGAAGGTTATGTTTTCAGTAGCGTTTGTGTGTGTGTATGTGTGTGTGTGTGTGTGTGTGTGTGTGTGTGTGGTTTAGCAAGATAACTCGAGAAGCAGTGGATGGATTGTAATGAAACTTGGTAGGTGGGTAGGTCTTCATGAGACCTAGAAATGATTAGATTTTGAGCCCCCTGACGGCTTTCCTAGGTACTGCAGCAGAACTTCCAGTTTTGATATCTCGTGATCTGGACGTGCTAGGGTCACGAATTTTGGATGGCAGATAGCTCTTGGAACAGGGAAGAAGTGACATGAGTTTGAATTCCCTAGCGGCTTGTTCTGGAACTGCAGGAGCATTTGTTGAAAAATTTTCGAAGGAGGATAACTCAAGAACCGGTTGACGGATTGTCTTGATTTTTGGTATGTAGGTAGTTTAACTGATGCTTGACATAATCAGATGACAATTATGCAAATCAGGAGCTATTTTGCATAATTAATGAGGAAATTCTATAAATCTGCTTTGTTCGATAATAGAACTATAAAAACACTTGTGACATCTACTTGAGAACGAGAAAAACATCTGGGGATATAGATTATGTAAATGAGGACCTAATTTGCATAATTAATGGCAATTTTTTATAATTTCATAGTTGTAACTGCTGGGAATTTCATATTTGTCACATCTGGAAGTTAACTGAAGGTGAACAACAATGAACATAATTTATTCAAATCATGACCTCATTTGCATAATTTATGAGGAAGTGCTATAATAGCCTTTTTGTTAAGATAAGGCCGTCATTGGGTGTAGAATATGATCAACTGATATAATCCATGCGATTGAGGCTCTTATTTCCAAAATCAATGATTAAAATTGTATAATTCGTCAACCGCAAGGGTTAACATCATTTGGCGAAGGTATGAGATCGTGGAACTCTTGTTTTATATATGAATGAAATATTATACACTTACTGTTGCGATGAAGTTAAATTATATATTTGAGCAGATGTCGGGCACGATGGCAATCCAGTTTTGCCGGATGTTTTGCTTTTGAAAGTCTAGTTTGCGCATCTTGCAGAGTACACTTGTGTACTAGTACATGTAATATCTTTATGTCGGAACCTTCACGCTTACAAAGTGAATTTGCCTTTTTTTTTATTTTGGAACAACAGGGCTTATTTCTTCTGTGGAGAGTGGCTGGCAGGTGACCGCGGGGACGGGCAGGTCGTGAAGACCTTTCCTGTCGCCTCTGAGGAGGACCTGCGATCCTTCGGGTTCCTGTTCCCGGCGTGTCTGCGGAGTAATCTGACTGAGGAACATCTCTTCCTGTCCGTCGCTATCATGCCTGAAGGTAACATTCGTGCGTGTCTATAACAGGTTTCTCACATGTTGAAATGAGGATATGACTTTGACTGAAATTGAAGGTCAGAAACAGAGGTAGTTCTCTAAAAAAACTAGAAAATATGTCATCATGTTTCCGGTTAGGTTCAATGAATATCATCAAGCCGACTTGCACTTACACAAAATGGAGGCAAACCTGGGCATTTTTTTCTATGGATGGGACGTTCATAGTGACATATATTCAACTTTTCTTTTGTTTCCTGCAAATGCAGTAAAAATTCCGATGTCAAATTCCACTCTAACTCATTTTACACGACACTGTTCCCGTACAGGAAGCTCATTTACCCGCATTGAGAGACTTGGCTGCTGCCTGAGTTTCCTCACCGTGTCCATGGTGTCCAGCGCCATGTGGTTGACCAATGGAGACGAAACCCAGGTTGTACAGGCCATCAACTTCGGCCCGTTCTCCTTCACCTTAAACACAGTTTACACGGGGATCATGACCAGTATCACCTGTCTTCCCGTTGTCATGGCAATAGTTCTGCTATTCCAGTACAGCCGACCGAGCAACAAGGGCGACCGCCGGGTCAGAGACGTGGAGACAGCCGACTCAGCTGAGGCACCCACACAGAAACGACCAGCCAAGGGCCTGCCACATTGGTGCAAGTACGTGGCCTGGGTGCTGGTGGTGCTGTCATCCCTGGGGTCAGCTGTCTTCACTATCCTGTACAGTCTGGAGTGGGGCAAGGAGAAGTCCGAGAGGTGGCTGTCTATGTACTTCATCACCTTTCTGGCGGACATCGTCCTTCTGCAACCTGTGAAGGTGACGAAAATTTTCATGTTTTAATGGTTCTAATGGAACATAATAATGCCATCGCACACTAGACCATGATGTAGAAAAATTGAAGATAGCATCTTCATTTTCATGATATATTGCGAGTTTTATCAAATGCCTATCAAAAGATAACTTACATGTCTTGCTCAATACTACTGTATAATATCTTTAGAACATGCTGTACAAACCTCGCAGCACTGCTAGGTAGTGTATTTTCGCATTTTCTCTTATCTACCTCGTGTTTAACAGGAGATTTCCACAAGATGCTCAAACGTAAACCCTTCATGTTGCAGATATTGGTTCTTGCGATCATCTTTTCAGCGATTTTCCAAAGACATACCATGAAGCTGATCTTTGAAAACGAGGGCGAGACTGTTTCCTTGGCTTCACAAAAGCGGACGGGGTTCGATTGTGAGTGATGCAAAATCATGCCATAATTTGGAAAATAAGATACATATAGTGTTGCAATTCGAACATAAGTGGTGTCTAAGGTGTAACATCGCCAAGACTGTACTCAAAAACATATTGCAGATCCTATGTTGCTCTACTTTGTGTGCAATTTTAAGTTCTGCCTCTAACTGATTTTACTGTATGTTGACTTTTAACAAAGGCAGTCGATTCCGGGTTAAGAAGAAAATGGAAAGACTTTCCGAAGTGTCCCTTGCGAACGTTGATGGTGCAAGAAAGAAGCGAAACAGAGACCGGAGAATCGGAGACGTTATTTGGGACATCATCCGGTCTTGTGCTCGTCTCCTGCTGGCCCTGACCATCATTAACGCACACCACAACATCAACCCGGCCTTCTATCAGACACAGAGCGCAGCCGACAACTTCGTGCAGTCTATAGATGAGGTAAACAGATCGGAGACTTAAAGTTTGTAGATATAAGTACGGTACTTTTAGTGCTTACTATCATCAGTGTTATAAAGCAATACTGATGATGATACATGTTACATGCACCTTTGTTAAAAGTGTTTGACAAAATACGGAAAATCCATAGGTATTTCATAGTTGAAAGCATTCTAATTTTAGAGTATGTTAATGATGTATGCATATATCCACATATTCTATCCTTCCAAAGGTGACGGAGCCCACTGGCCTCTGGTCCTGGCTGAACGAGACCGCCATGGAGGCCTTCTACCCGGAGACAACCTACAATGGCGCCGAGCCCCGCTGGTGGGAGAAGGTATTCACCGCTGACAGGCAGTCGGTCCTCGTCGCTCCACCTAGTCTGATACAAGCTCGAGTAAAGTCAGGTTGGTGGAACCGTTATTACGGGGGACTAAAAAAAAAATAAAGTAATGGACGTCTGAATAGTCTGTCCATCCTTATTTCCTTTTCGGGAACAGACTCGCGCAAAAACTGAAGAATTGTCAGAAAAATAAATGCATTTGCAGCTTACGTTCCTTTTTCTGTTATCTCAGGGCTGTGTAGTGTGCCTGCGGCAATGCCGTACATGTTTGATTGTACAGCGGCGTATGATGAAAACACAAAGGAGACCGGAGTGTTTCAGAAGGGGTGGAAAAGGGTCACCAATATGTCGGAGGTACAGTCAGAAGCCCCTGGATGGAGCCACCGCCTCAGTCATTACACAATCAAACCAGTCTTCGGTGTGATGTCGCAGTACTGGGGAGACGGCTTCAGTCTGGACCTGGGGAAATCTGCAGACGAAATGAGCAGCATCCTCACGGACCTGAAGGCCAATGAGTGGATCGACAAGCAGACAAGGGCCGTCCTTTTGGAACAAATTGTCTATAACGGAAACCTGGATATGTTCACATCTGTGGCGGTGGTGTTTGAATTTACTGAGATGTACGGAGTTTTCACCCATCGTCATCTGCACACCTTCCGGCTTCATCAACAGCAGGGGACGATCGGGTACATCTATGTCCTGATGGAAATCACTTACGTCATCATTCTCCTCTACTCACTGTGGAAAGAGGTGAAAACTGCGCGTGCAGGCGGCACGGCCTACCTGAAGAAGCCATGGAATATTTTCGAAATCGTTAATTTCCTCTTGGCATTCACTGCCATTGCCTTGTACGCCACTAACAGAGCCTATGGTTCGAAGGTCCTGGCGGCTTCCCAGCAAGGGAAAGGTGCGTTATTAATACATACACAAAAAAGTATCTTACTTGTGCAATATACCGAATCCTAAAGTCATTGAATTTCGGTGACAGCTTAGCAGTAGAAGGCTTCTAACGTATTTTGTTTTCGTTTAGATCAACTCCAATATCTCAGATCTGTGGTGAACATCAACCTGATCTATGGATGGCTGCTGTCTTTTCTTGCTTTCTTCAACATCATGAAGCTCCTGCGGCTGTTGAGGTTTAACCCACTCCTGTCCAAGCTGATGTCCGTGTTCCGGGGAATGGCGGTGGAGTTCTCGGCCTTCATCCTCTACTTCTTCCTCTGCTTCTCAGGATTTGGCATGAGCGCTTATCTCATGTTCGGTACCACAGCAACAACGTACAGGTTCGTAGTTTGATTAACTCCTAGTAGAGGTTTGGGTTTGGCTAATTTTTGGCGTGTTTTTAGACTTTTTTCGGGCTTCCTTTTTTGCACCGGTATCTTTATCGGTTGGCGTAAAAAAGACACCCGTGCAAGCCTGGTAAAATCCTTAAAAACACGCCAAAAAAATAGGCCAAAACCTCTGCTTGGAGAGTATAGTTTCATGACATTTGGGCTGTAGCAGATTTGGGAAGATGGCAGATCTCATGCAGAGCTGGAAACAACTTTGTTTTCTATTTTTCAGATCCATCAGCTCTTCCTTCTCCACGTTGTTCCAGATGTCTCTTGGGCTCTTTGACTACACAGAGCTGTGGGAGGCAAACCCAATCCTCGGTCCCATCTTCTTCATAACGTTCATTTGCTTCATGTTCCTGGTGCTGATGAACATCGCCATGGCGATCATCGACACAGCACTTCCCGATGTGCGGGACCATGTCATGGCTGAGGAGGACCGTTTGCTTCTCGAGGGCTTATGGGAGCGCTTCACCTCCCTGTTTGGGCTTCATCAAGTGCCAGTCACAGGTAATGGCGAATAACTTATGTTGTTCGACAAACAATTAGAAACTACATGGTAACACTCCCTTTCCACCAGACCAGAAGTAGATTTTTGTGACCCTTAACTTTGTAACTAGAACAAACAAAACATGGAAGTTTGCTGAGTGATCGGTCAAATATTTAAATTTGGGCTCATCGGTTGTAACCTCTATTGGAAAGGGAGTATTACTTGGCGACATCCGGTTGATTTTCACTTGCTTTTTTTTATCGAATTTTTACGTTGACATAATTGTACATTGGTACAGATGTGGACACCGTGGATAGGCTCCATGACAGCCTTATCGAGGTTGAGATCCAAGTTGAGCGGCTGTGGCTGAAGAGACAGTCACTTTTCAACTGCAGGCTAGTATGATTTGATACATGGACTGGATCTTCCTTGTTGTGCTACTGATTTTGCTTTTCCTCCTGCTTCTCAGCTCAACATTCTTCCTACAGTGAGCTGCATGAGACCGGACTGTAAGGTTTTATCCACTCACACCGCGATGGATCCCTACTCTTTTCGATCTGATCTTTATCGTGCTCAAGGTGTAGGTGTCCCCAAACACGGGACCCCCGACTTACGTCCCATCCGATAGAAAGTCCCTTGCCTAGCAAGGTCCTATTTGTTACCTGAGCCGAGTGGGGAAATTGGTGTTGATTGCCTTTTCCAAGGGCAAACACATTGATTGAGCCCTGCTAGGCATTCAAACCTAGAACCGTTTCCTTGCTCGAAGAGAGAGTGAATTTCCTCTTTAACTTGCAGAAAACTTACTTCGTTGTTGAACATGTTCATACAGGATAAAGAATGCGGACCTCCCTGCAGAACCTGACTTCGTCCCACCAGTCACGAATGTCTTCGAGGATGCAGCTGAGAAATCTCAGGCTCCTGGAGGAGACCTTCCGGTCATTGTGATCCGCCCTGCCTCCCACACAAACCGCGCAGTGAGCGGGTCCGAGAAGAACACACCGGCGGAGGCGGCTGCAAGTCCAAGTGACCGCTACGAAGAAGGAAACTCCACAGAGGACAAAGAGTCGGTTTCCCGTGCCAGTCAGTTTTCTACAGCGGCGGATAAACAGCAAGAAGCCATCGTATCTGAAGTGGGAAATCTCGAAAAAGTGGACATGCCCTCTAGCAATAAGGGGGATGAAAGTGTTGAAGGCAATGTTGCTCAACCCCTCGCCCAGATGCTAACATACAACCAGATCCAGGCTGCCCAGAGCCTGCTCCGGTGCCAGTACCCGGCACTCCAAGGGCTGGAGGACCCTTCAATCAGTCTCTACGAGGATTTAGGATTTGCAAAGATGATTAAAAAGGGGCTACAAATCCACCACAGCGGTAACATGCACTGGGTTCTGTCGTCTTACACAGACGGACAGGTGTGCCTGTATGACAACCTTGGCGTCGCCATGACCACATCTCTGCAGGTTCAGCTTTGTCAGTCTTACGCCGCGTTTGCTGACTCGGAAACAAACGTCCTGGCCGTCCAGTTACCGGAGGTACAGCATCAATGGAATGACAACGATAGTGGGCTGTTCGCCATCGCCTGGGCAGTGGACATCGCGGAGGGGCGAGACGTGAGAATGGTTGTGTATGACGACAAGAAGATGAGTAGCCATTTGGAGATGTGCTTCAAAGAAGGGAAACTCACACCGTTTCCTCGTCTGACCAGCCTCAGAAAGAAGGTCGGCCCAAACAATGCACATCAGATCTCACTGGTTTGCCACTGCGAACAAGTTGGGCGTCTTGGAAGGATGGAAAGGTGCAAGGCATGCCGGAGGATCTTTCATGTCAGCTGCCTGGGAGCTAGCCCTCCTCGAGGTGGCACGTGGGCGTGTGGCGACTGCACCGTTTAGATTAGTCGTCAGCACAGATTAAGTCTGCTGTCAGTAGAGTACTGTCTTCAGCACAGTTTAAAACTTTGGGTTCTCCTATCATGAGGAGTATTTTGAAGTTGTCTCTCCACAATTACTGCTGCTCAAGATTTGAGTTTGGGCGTAACTTTGTTGATATAGTCTTAAATAGGATAATGTCTATTTCAGGAAATTTACTTAAAATGCCTGTCAAGTACACTTACCTTTCTGTAGGTATGTAATGTATTTCATAGATACATAATTTGATATACATGTACTATATTAAGTAAGCTTATGCTATGTGTGTTAATTATTTAATTCATGTGTAAATACCTAAATACTACATGTATTCTTTGTATAGCAAGCGGTTTATGTACGTTTATGTTTTTTGCTTTTATATATGATGATATACAAGCTTATGAAATTATGTAAAAACACAAGAGTGCCCAGGATTTGTTGCATGTTACTAAACTAAATTCTTAACCTCTAGGTACGGTTATTGCAACAGCATCTCATTTCAACATGAATGTTTGAGATGTTGGTAAGGTACATTTGTGACCTCATAAAGTAGTAGACAGAAAACAACATTGTTTATATATTTTCTTTATATTAACCAGTTGCTCGTGTAAATATAAGAGATGCATTAAAAGACAAGCAGTGGCGGCTGGCATTGTAAAATCGAGTGACTTATCACTGCTAACTATCAATCAGTAATATACATGTACAGACAGTTGCTAAAAATAATCAATAAAAATAAAATCTCAGTACGTTTTCTATCGTATAGATGATGTACAGCACCAAGGACGAGTATGCTCTAGATACCACACAGACTATTGTATAGTCTTCTCATCTATTTGCCTTTCTGTGGATGGAGTTCATGTCTAACTCCAATCGTTGTATATAATGAAGAGCAGCATAATGTATTTAATGATAGAAGCTCCAGGCTGTACATTTGCTTTGTAATAAATTACTTTCTTCATCAATTGCACAAACGTCCTATACCATTTTTAACTGCATTTTTCAAATGCACAGCATGCAGGTTAGCCTTACTAGTACTGTGGATGGTGTTCAGCACCAAGGACAGGTTAGTGTCCTCATCTCACTGAGATGACCACGGATTATGCAGTTTGCCTTGGTATGGATGGTGTTCAGCACTAAGGCCAAGGACAGTTTTGCTCTTAATATCAAGCAGGTTACTGCACATTCTACCAAATCACTGCTGCTTCTGTTTGGCAGCTGTTTTCTTCCCACACAAAACTCGGCAGCAGCACCGACAGCAGAGCCACAGAAAAAGCCCTGCTGCCACCACTGCCATGCACAGCAGCGCCACCACGTCCAGCAGGTGGTACTGCAGCAGGCTAAGGTGGCGTGCCGCTGACTTGAGGTGCGGCAGGCCGCCATGTCTGATGACATGTTCGATCCACCAGACAGCGCGGTCCATGGGAGACTGCGGCTGGTCTTGCTGGAGCTGTGCCAGCCGTACGGCGTTAGATTTGTACCTGCAAAAACAGGAATAAGCAAAATAATGTCAACATGAAAAACATCTGTGTTGGTATTATTATCACATGTTCGTATGGTCAGACAATGATGCTAAAACTTTGTGATCTTATAAAGAGGGTACACAAAATATCAACTGACGTTTTATTGTTGGCGACCTCCATGATGGCTTCATAAAGGTCATCCGAGGTCATGGTGAAGATGTCCAAGGTGACTCCTGTTCCCAGGGTCTCCAGGTTGTTGCTGTTCCCATGCTGCTCTGCGAAGGCGGGAACTCTGACCATGGGCACGCCATGGAACATTGCCTCGTACACGGCGTTAATCCCGCAGTGGGTGATGAACAGACGCGTCTTCGGGTGAGCTAGAAACACAGACAGATGCCAAGATTATGGCTATAACTATCATTGGGAAAACATAATAGTCTCAAATTTCATCAGCATGGTGCAAAAAGCTCCAGATGTGAAGATTGTAATTTGAGACGTGACGCTTCCTTCAGAAGTGTATACATTTCAAGAACTGTATGGCTCAAAAGCAGGATACAAGTATGCCATAAAATTGAGTTGTATGTGTATTTATTGTCAGCTAGAGAGGAAGAAACACAGCAAAAACAGTTACTGTGTTTTTTCCCTTTCATCAGGTGAGAAATTGTCATGCAGAAAGGTGTTTCATCCTCATGACTTACCCAGCAAGTCATTCTGTGGAATCCAGTCCAGTATCAAGGTGTTCTTTCCTGTGTTTTTTGGCCTTTGACCTTGAAACTTCCAGATGACCTTGAATGGCACCTTTGCCAGGCCTGCAGCCAACATCTCAGCTTTTCTCCTGCCCATCACCTTGGCGTAGGACCCAAAGGACAAGACAACCACGCCAGCATCTCCTGACTCTTCAAGGAATCTTTCAAGATCCTGACATGTTGACAAGATAAAGAAAAGATATCAACTAATGGCTAATTGATTGTCATATTTCATCATTCGGATGTTTGTAATAGCTTTATTAAATTCTTTGTTTCTAAATGTAACACTAAAGTTACTCCAAATTAGGTCAGTGTATGTAACAATGCCAATGATCAAACAAATTAACTTAAAAGTTGATTAGGGATACTGGATAGATAAAAATATGGGAAAATGGCCTCTATTTCTAAAAAAAATACTACATTTGGTAAAGGACTGTACATGTAATTAGTAAGTATCCTTCAGTCTGTATCTAATAGGTAGGAGTTTGGGTGGGAAGAGTAACTTAAACACACAACAGGAATAGAGCCTACCTTAGGTAGGGGGTTGATGTTCTGCACGTGGTACCCACCAATGTAAACCATGTTGGGCATGGCAGGGTGAGGGGGGTGCATGATGAATTCCCCCCTCATCAGAAACAGGTCTGCCTCTGCCATCAGCTCCAGGATCGTTGTCTTGTACCCAAGAGCACGAGACGCTATCGGCCCGAACCTGATGATCATAAAGGTGATGATGATGATAAAGGTCATGGTAATGAAGATGGTGGTGTTGATTGTGGTGATGATAGTTATGATGATGCTGATTGTGATGATGGGTAATTGACGATGATGATGATATTGTGACAATGATGGTCATGGTGATGATGGTGATACTGATTGTGATGATGGTGACGATGATGGCTATGGTGATGATGATGGCTATGGTGATGGTGATTGTGATTATGGTTATGGTGATGATGATGGTGATATGAGTGTGATGATGATTGTTATGGTGATGATGGTCATAATGATTGCGTGATAAAGGTAACCTCAATCATAGTGGATTTTCATGATGTGTAGAAGGACTTCAGTAGATCAGTATTATTTCAGTTACGTACCTGCTAGTGTAAGCCGACATGAGTGCTCCAGCAAAGCAGTGCCAAAAACAGGTTCTTCAGCCTCTGTGTGAAGTCTGTTCTAAAGGAGTAGAATGTTGCTATCGGTACAGGCGCTTGGGTGGCGTACTCCAGGAAACCTGGCATGATGTGGGGAGCTTGCATGATGACCAGTGGTATGTTCAGTAGTCTAGCCACGATGTTACCGCAAGTCATGGCAGGATCGATGATCAAGATGTCAAAGTTCATCTGTTGTAGTTTGGAGATGAGTTTCTCATCGAAAACAAGCACTTCACATTCCTCGACCCCGATGGGGCTAGACGTGGTGATCTTGAAAGCCTCGTAGGCGAATGTCCACGTGAAGTCGAGAACCGATTGATTCTCATTGTCACCAAGTGACAGTTGCACCTGCAGATCGATCATGCTGTCAAAGAAGTCGCCCTCTAGTGGAACCTGGGTGAACAGCATTGCACAGGAAGTTATGCCGCGTGACTTTGATTCATGACAACATTTTCCTACAAGACCTCAAATTTCATGATATTGTGAAAAGTATTCCATTAGCAACAAGTCATTATATAACCTGTGCATTCCACTGTGGAAGGCCCTGATCATTTGGAGGGCTGCTTAGTAATAAGAGACGGGTGTTCAATCAGGCTAGTCACACTAACACAGTAACTAGTTAGTAATACGTACTTCAAACCTCTCCAGGTGGATCTTACGCCTGGTAGGAGTGTTCAGCACCTTCAGCTGGTTGTCATACAGATTAGAGGGGACCAGGGACACCACGTCATGTCCTTTACTGGAACAAATACATGTAACGTTAGGTTACATGGCTTTAGATTTGAAGTTGCTAGAAATTTCAAAATGCATTACGTTACATGATCAAACCCTTCTCTAGGTTGAGCTACAGGTGAGACTTACCTGACCAGACCCTCCGCCAGGTAGACCAGGTTGAGCCAGTGACTGCCGCTCGGCCCCATCATCAACACCTTACCGGCCCCGGCAGGACCCGTGAGACTAGTAGAGCACAGGAACAACAACAACAAACAAACAGCCGACATCTTTTCTCCTTAAACCGCAGACCGGCTTACAATGAGTTACGTATAACCCAGCCAAGGCAAATGACCTGCAATGACCCATAGTTCACGCGGAATACGTAATGAGGTGGCGGGGTTACCACGAAAACTGTTTTCTGAGTTATGAAACACACTGACACACACAAACAACCTCCATTTTTCATAGCAATAACTGTTAACTCTGTAATAATAATTGATTGGTGGAATGATAGATTGATTGATTGTAAATTACGTTCTCATTGCTTACCTTATGCGCGTCGTGTAACAGTTACAGTTTTCTCAACAGCTTAACGGCGACACCAGGTGACTGCCGGGAAAACAGCAGCCATCAGACAGACGAAGTTTTTTCAGCATTTCTGGAGGAAAAATATTTTGAATTTTCCATGAATAGTTCCGTCCGCACACACCCGTGTTGGCGTGGTTCCGTCCATCCCCCACTAGGCTTTGCGGATGAGGAAGTGCGCAGTGCGCCTGTGCAGATTGGCCAAAAATCAATATTTCTAATTCATGTTTTTGCGGGCCAAATATCGGAAGGCGGAGGCCATATTTCGGTAGGACAAGATGTTGGAGCCCAGCTCGAGCGAGGAGGAGTCGGAGCCCGAGGTTGTTGAGAACACCGAGGTCTTATCCATCCCGGACGGCGGGAGTGGATACGGGGGAAGTCAGCAGAGCGGCATCGGCAGCAGGCGCGATGTCTCCCCGGGCAGCGACAACTCTCTGGCCGCCGGATCCAGGTGAGGCTACCGCCTGGGCCCCTCGGGCTCGGACGGACATACAAATCACGTCCTAAAACTCTGCTGTGATTGCCGTGCAGTTGTCGTGATTTAAACGGCGAGTTTTGTGCGTCAGATTAAATGCATAGAGTCGTAAAGAACGTGCTTGACCCGGCTAGCAGGTGTTTATACACACACGGTACGTGTTTTTGCCTCCCACGTATCAAAGATTCAGGGATGTGCCAAATTCATGCGAACCAAAAAGCCGCTCGGAGATTATAGATCAGTCTTCCGTGATAGCAGGACAAATATGTCAAGGTCCTAATTCAATTGGCAAAAATTACGGAACTGTTTCCTGTCTGAAGAGTCGCCTACGACAGGTGTTATTGTTATCCAATGAATCGTGTAATTATGCGCAACCTGTAAACATAACGTTCCGTATGTCCTCGTATATATGGCGTTTAACGGTCGCGTTTTTAACTCTATATTTTCCATACTCGGTCCCAAGTATTGTCATAAAGTAGAATGAAGACTAATAAAAAGCATGAATAAATGTGTGAATTACGATCATTGCTAGCGGCCTAGCCTGGGCTGCAGTCAGTTCAGAAAATGGGCGGAACGCGTTTCGTTCAGCTTCCTTTACTAAAAACACATTAAAGGACGTCCAGACATCCTGGTGGCTCTGAATTATAGCAGCATGGTTTTAAATTCGCCTGTTGTTATTGTGCCAGGCAAGGAGCTGATTATCTTGTATCAAACTGTAAACGTGACAAGTATCAGGCGTTGTTTATTTACATGTACAGTGCAACTTACTGATATTGGGTTTCTTGTGGACATTGCATCACATTGTCGTGTTGTTGTATAAAGAGGGGCGGTTCATTGAAAGGCGGTGTGGGGGGTGGTGGTGTTTAATTGAATTACGGAGTACATTGTGTTTTTGCTATGTGGGGTTTTTTGTTTTAAATTTGAATTCAATTGTTTTTTTTATCAAATTTGATTTCATTTTTCCTATACAGTTGATGGTTTTTTTGTTGCCCAATGAGGCCAAAGGTTATCCATTAAGGATCACTCCTGTGGATCAGAAGGTCATGGGTTTAACCCTGTGTATAAAGCAGGGCATACATTTGGCTTGTTTAAGAACTTGAAGGTACTTCTTTGTCAAGTGTCAGCCAAAAAAGTAAGGACTGATAGAGGGAGAGTAGCTCAGAGAGGGAGAAGTCTGCCTTCTCTGATTACCTCATTTCTCTGTCTGCAGCTCACGGTCCGAGTCCATCCGGCCCTCCTCCCCCTCTCCTTCGATTGTCAGCGAGAAGGAGAAGGAAGACCTTGAGAAGCTGCGGGAGGAAGAGGAGGAGAGGAAGAGGAGGCTGCAGCTCTATGTCTTTGTCTTGAGATGCATCGCGTACCCCTTCAACGCCAAGCAGCCCACGGACATGGCCCGCCGACAGGCGAAAGTCACCAAGCAGCAGCTCCAAACCATCAAGGAGCGGTTTGGCTCGTTCATTAATGGTGACACGCAGATCGTGGCAGACGAGGCGTTCTGCAATGCCGTGCAGAGCTACTACGAGGTCTTCCTAAAGAGCGATCGTGTGACGCGAATGGTGGCCTCGGGCGGGTGCTCGTCCCACGATTTCAGGGAAGTGTTCAAGAATAATATTGAGAAGAGGGTGCGCGGCTTGCCTGAGATCGATGGGCTGAGCAAGGAGACTGTGCTAAGCTCGTGGATGGCGAAGTTCGATGCGATATACCGCGGTGAGGAGGACCCTCGGAAGCAGCCGACGCGGATGGCAGCGGCGGCTGCATCCGAGCTGATCCTCAGTAAAGAACAGCTGTACGAGATGTTCCAGCAGATCCTGGGAGTGAAGAAGTTCGAGCATCAGCTGCTCTACAACGCCTGCCAGGTACGTGGGTATCCAGTCCTATCCCAAATTAGAATTGTACAGTCATGTACATGTAGCTGTTACATGGAAATAGATTTTTGACCAATAGCTGCTCTACAATGCTGTAGTACATGTATGAAAACAGATACAAAGTCCCCCCATCCCATATCTCGGGAGCCTCATCTGAATGTAGCTGCGAGCTTAGCATTCCGGTGATAAATATCATGGAAATGACCTTGGCTGTGTTTGACCTGGGCTGTGTCTATTGTATCTGGTCACATGATTGTGACCTTGTGCAGGGATGTTGCGCGTGTCCTTGTACATTGGTGATATAACTGGTTCTAAAAAGTAGAATTATAGCTTTCCTGGTATGATATCTGTATTTGAAATCTCAGTTGTGTGGAAGCTTCACTCAGGAGCAATCTGCATGTCGTCGCCATGGAGACTCCATGGTTACTCGTGAGGTGCTTTTGTATGCCTGGGAGAAGGTCGGCTCTACCATTCTGGACAAATTATTGGGGTGTTTGGCATGTCACACTAATGATTACTTGATAGAAAAGTAACATAGAGTCATTATAGTAAGAGTCATTATGAAATTTGGCAGTCCAGTGTTATTCTTTGGTTGTTATCTTTTTGTTATTATTAGGCCACACTGACTTAATTTATAGATGATTTCCTCTGAAGACCCCCAAACTAGTGCACGCAGGCAAATAAAAAAAATCCACTTCCAGTGAAAAAAAATACTGCTAAACCACATGAATACAAAGCTGGTATTCTGAATTTTCGGAAGTACATAGTGACTTTTATGACAAGCCAGCACATGTTGGCCTTTTTCAGCATTTGTGAGTCCTCCGTAGTTACAGCCGGGCCCCTATTGACGCTACCTACCACGGACTACGGAGGATGGCACCAAGTCTCGTCAAGATTTTTTTTTACTATTTTAGAACAGGCGAAAATCAATGTGCGCGCAGATGTCATCCATAAAATTAAATCAGTGTGGCCTTATGCATTTATGTAAGATTTTATCCCCTTTGGTCCCCAAAATAAAGTATCACAAGATCTATTTCATTTTATTCCTGAATGTCCAAGAACCAATGAAATGCCCTTGTGCCCTGCATTGTGATTGAGGGATGCTGACATGTTTTATTGTGGCTCATAGATCAATAGCCACACCTGGGACAGGTAGGTACACGGGGCAGTACTCACCCAAACATACAGATCATCACAGTTCACACCCGCACATTCTCAAGTTCATGGAATAAACTACCCGGGTATGTAAAAGAACATCAAGGAATTACCAATATGATAATGAAAAAGCATACTTTATTACGTACAACAAATGTAGATTCCATCAGCCCTAATCCATTGTAAACCCTGGACAGGACAAATAAATACTGTAATGTCGTATGTGTGTTTTATGTACTGCTTTGTAAAATTTAATTTGAAAAAATAGAGAGGTGTATTGTGATTATCACACTCCTAGAATCTTACCTTTAAGTTAGAACATGTATGTTGTTCTGTTTTACTATGAATAGAATGGTATATATATATCATAATTGTTATATAGTTATGTTTACCAATTTGCCATACATTGTACCTGTTATAATTGTTGCAAACAATAAAATTAGAATTACAAAAAAAAAAAATACCACTGAGAATGATGAACTGGACCTTCCTCCTGCTTGGAGATGAGTGCCCTCATACTGAAGGTAGGTTTTACTGGTTAAATGATACAGATAAATACAGATACATCTAGTGTTCCCATTTACAGTGTTTCCTTTTTCTCTACTGATCGGTTCCACATGAAGGCTGTCGTGATGTTATTATCCCTGACGTTCTGTCACTCTAATCATCGTCACTAATTAACCAGGCCCTTCCTGGAGAGCGAGGCAGGCCGTGATGGATGGAAGCTCGTTAGAAAATGTCCCCATCAGAATGGAGTGATGGAAAATCAGTCTTCTACCTGATGGAGACATGAATTTTTTACAATTGTCTTGAGTTTTGTGGCTTAACGAATGTGTGTTCTGGTGTGTCAACATTTCAAAGTAAGAAAACAAAAAGAAAAAGATAATGCTGAGAGTGAGAGGAGCATTCCTAAACAGTTGAACCTTGAGTCCTGAACGGGGACATATGGGATGTCTTCACAGGAAACAATGGGCTCTTATTAAAAGTGTTAACATTAATCACACAGTTTGTCTTGTGGAACAATAAACCACAAAAGAGTCCCTTTCACTGACATGAATAGCTTCATCAGGGCTATACAATGTGTAACTTATCAATACTTAGGTTAAGTTACTTCCCATAGGGTAAAATTTTTGTCAGTGTCTTTTACTAAATGATTGACAGAAAAAAATTAAAAACCAATCTCTGATGCTATTTCCTGCTTGCCCCTGAAAAGGGAGAAAGCTGAAATTCTTTTACATGAAACTGTTTTGCGTCAGCTTCTCCCATGGGACAATTTTGTCACCCAGCAGCTGATAGCAGACTCTGTTCATGTGGAATTCACGGAAAGGTCACCTCTTCCTTTCCTGTCAGGGGTTTTCTAAAGGCCAATTATCGACTTTACAACATACATTCAGATTCCTAGGGCACAAAAGACATTTTTCTGTTATCTGTACCTGATAGAATTTTACCAGTAAAATGTCTTTCTCCAAATGATATCTAAGCTGCTATTCCTGCCCAACTATTACAGTATACTACGTCTTGTATAATCGTCTGAGCTGGAAGATTTAGTACATTGTATATTACATTGTGAATTAAACAAATCATTCTTTATTCATTCTTTACAGGTTTCTTAAATCATGTGAATACAATATATGTGATAATGATTTACTTGTATGCATTACTTCTGGTGGCAAAATAGTGGTAGAGTCATCCGTGACTATCATGTTTTGCTTCAAACCTAAATTACTGCAGTGGTGTTTGTGTTTATACGAATGTATTTGGGAAGGTTGTATTGTTTGTATTTCTCTGTTTTGTATCATACATGTCCTGGTGTGTGGGAGGTCACACTGTGTTGTTGATCGTTTTATTGAACCAGAATGTAAACAGGCTGCAAAACGTATAAACAAGCTTCAAAACAATCTGCTCAGATTTGTGTCCTGAACTTTTTGTTACCAAAACAGCAAAATGTCTCAGTGGAGTTCATTGATCCTGATTGTTCACTGAACTTAAAATACAACGTGGATGAAGATAAAAGCGGTTTCTTTGGGTTTTATCCAGATTTTTTGTTTAGAGGCCTCGGGGTAAACTGTGTGTAGCAAGATTGAACCTTCCCCCACATTTCATGTTGATCTTCCAGTTCAACTCTTATTTATTTTGTTGTTCAATCCATGTCCAAGAAACAACAGAATGATATTGGTGTGACCTGAAGTTGCCAGTCAGGGCTTGTAATGCAGCATGCAATTTGCACAAAATATTTCTGGATGGCAGATGAAGATACAGAGATGCAAAGTTGCAAGTGCCAGAAAAAAAAAGGTTTTGAGCCCACCGAGCCTAAGTCTAATTAAAGTATAAAGGACAGGAGTGTTAGAACATTTATATTTCTTCCCATTTTTACTTCAGTGATAAGTCCACAAAAGGTCAATATTTAAGGACCAGTCTGTATTATTTCTCTCCTCAGCTAAGTCAATTGTACTGTAGCCTTAAGCCCCCTCTCGTTTTGTCAATCGTTACTGCCAGCTATTAAACCCAAGGCCACCTCAACAGGGAATAGAGCCTAATTCAGGAGTGTCCCTCCCAGCCTAATGTTTTCATTATGTTGGATCTCTATTCAAGAATATCCGATAAACAAGGAAATATATTGGTGAGGCCCTGGCAGTTACAGTCAAAGCCATTGTGGGAAGTCTGACGGATGACAGCCAAGCCGACAACCTCTGTTCCAAACGGCAAATTGATTATTGATTTTGGCTGGTGGGTCTCCGAGGATTGGGATTTGTTTGTTTTTTGTTCTGAGAATGGAGATAAGATCGGAAAACGGGGGAAGGATGTGCTCTGTGTCAAGGGTTTTCCAGATGTTTCTTTAAGATTCGATTGTGGCCTTGGAGGTAATCTTTTCACTCTGTGATATAATCATCTTTACCCTGTGTGTTCTTGAATGATCAGCGTTACATTCAAAGCAAACAAGTGCTCCAATACTTCACAACTTAGGACAACAGATCAGTGTTACTGTTCATGTCCCTTACTACTGTTTTTTTTGCTTCGTTTATATAACTACAGGTACATGACTATCCATCAAAGAAAAGTGGTTTGAATGAATTGAATATGTTTTTTTGTGATGATAATGCCTAATTTCATATTGCATGAGATAAAATACGCATGAAGTGTGCCAACATTAACATTTGGGAATTCAGTTATTCGTAAAATGCACAAATTTAACACATTTAATTACATGTGCAATGTATGGATAAAAAGACTATGCTCAGACACATTAAAATGATGCATTGTAGGGTTCTACTGAATGATTTGAGATTTGTTGTGCTCCCCAGAAAGTTTGATTATGATCATATCTTAAGCCATATTCAGGTCTGGTCAGCACTCAGCATACATTTGTAGGGGTCACAGTCACCGGGGTGTTTTCACTAGAGTATGATTGAACAGTCTTGACTGAATAGTCAATAAAAAGATCAAATGAGGATGACACTTTTATTTTACTTCAATGTTTGAGTCAATTGTTTGCTACCAAGCAGGCCTAGGTTGAAGAAGATGAATAAGAAATGGAAAAGAAATAAAATTATAATTTTTATGCAATCATCTACCGGTAATTAAGCAACAGACATGGAGATGTCTGCTAATAGTTTTATCAAGAAATTAGAGATGATGTTTAGCAATCATGTTTTCCACTCAAGTCTCTTAAAGTGATCATTACCAGAGTATGGATAAACCTTGTAGTTAAGACCTGAGGATCTTCATGCTGTAATTGCATGCTGTAATGAATTTTTTCTCATCGCTGTTCATCCTTTAATCGTTTCTCCTCGATGTTCCGAGGATTAAAGGATTAATTGCACCAGATCCGTTAGAGA